GCCTTAGGAGGCCACGCCTACCGGTAACAGAGCGCAGTAGTTAAACAACAAATCTAGGCTACTAGTGAGTCTCCGTGATGAGTCTGCCTGAAAATGTGTTTCGAGATCGCCCAAAATTTCCGGGATTCGGCTTTTGCGTTCTACAGTCGCCATTCATTATGTTTCCTGTGGTGAGCAGGACGTAACACAGTCTCATCCCAAAAAGTCATATAACTGACGTCTTGGGACGTTTTTTGACCGTACGTCAATATCCGCCTTTTTAGGGCCCCCTTAAACGTCGGTAGATGGCGATCCCGGGCCGTCATACAACTGATGCTTTACCTTTAACGTCAGTTAGGTGACGGGTTAGGTTTAGGGTTAAGTTTAGGTCTGGGGTAGAGTTAGGATCCCATAACCTCATCTACCGACGTTTAAGGGGGCCCTAAAAAGGCGAATATTGACGTATGGTCAAAAGACGTCCCAAAACGTCAGTTATATGACCTCTTGGGATGAGACTGGGTTGCAGGACGAGGCCGAGGCCGTGATTACTGGTGAGCGACACCTGTGAGACGCACCGGTTACTTACTTGTTAGCGTTCATTAAACACGACATTCAGATTCCCCAATTGGAATGAATTTAGTTAGATTGAAACAAAAGGTGTAGCTACATATAAACAATGAATGGCGACTGCAGAAAGCAAAAGGTGAATCCTAGACATCGACGGCCGGACATGTCCGGGAAAAAGAGGCTGGTAACCCCTACTACTCAGCTTTCTCCACAGAACAAGAGCCTGCTAACTTGGCTTCCAAAAAAGATGGCTGACACTATTTTGTGAGTGAGATCCCACCCTCCATGGGGGGGTTGAGAATAGGGCTGGGTATTGAGACAAATTTCACAATTCGGTTCGATTTCGATTCACAAGCTTGCAATTCGATTCGATTTCGATTACGATTCGATTCGATTCAATATCGATTATTTTGGGTATCAGTTACAATAAATGGCAATTTTTCTCAAGGGAATCAAATCTCTTAAATGCTGTAAACTATGGTCTATATATATAGTCTAGTTGTAGCCTACTAGGGTTCATTAACCTAATATGAAGGTAATAATTAACTGTTTTGTAGCTATACAAACACTTAAATTACACTTTTATTTATTTTTATAATAAGAAGATTATATGAAATATAAACATTTAAATGGTGGCTGTCATAAAAACTTGCCAGATTTATTCAAATATGCATTAAATATTGAAGAACACTAACGAGTGTGGACTAACGAGTTTATGTGGGTTTTCTGAGGTAAATATGACGATACATGACATTGATTACAAGCTGTTTAATTGACGTCTTTCCACGGTTGAAACGCTGATTGAGCGAATCAATGTGACATGATACGGATTTTGATAAGTTGTACTCGATCTTTTAACACACTTTCAGATGCTCATTCATGTTTGTTTCGCGCTGTGACTGGTATTATTAACCCGGAAGAGAGATCAGCGCTGCTGCTTCTCTGGAGCTGCGCCAGAGCGATCTCACGCCACAGCGCCAAAACGGCAAAACGCTATTTATGTTTTTGAATTTCTAAAGAAAATGGACGTAATTTGAAAATTGAGACTTTGTTTCATATCAATAGTAACAAAGCAGGACAAAGATTAGTGCGATTTGTTGGATGTGCGCAGCCGCGGAACAATGTCTCATTCATTCAAATGAAACAGGATGACTAATCGATTCTTGAGATTTAAGAATCGATATCGGTTTGTAAAAATGAGAATCGATTAATATCGAGAAATCGATATTTATTACCCAGCCCTAGTTGAGAACATGCGGGACAGACCCTACTACTGACTGTAGTCTTTAGCCTCTGGCCAAAAAATCCTCCGATGACGCAAAATGACGATTTTTGTCATCGGAGGATTTTTTTCCAGACATAAAATACATAAATATCTCGTCTGAGGGGGAAAGCAAGAAAATTTGAAAATCCTACAGGTTTCCTACTAATACAAAGCTTAATGCTACATCCTGAAGTATTCCTTTAGCGTTTAGCTGTAAAACAGCTCTACAGAAGGCAATACTGTCATTTTTCAGCACAAGTCAGTTCAGTGTTGATTCAGTTTAGTTCAATAACTGTGTCAATGTTGCAGTTCATCAATTATGAAACAAGTTCAATTCAGTTATGCAAAGTTCTATCCTACATTTACTTTATTTAACTTTCTACACCTTATGAATGACCACTCCTGTCATGAGCATGCAAAACCAGTATTACCAGTATCCACCTCGATTGAAATCGCGTTCTAGAGTACTGGCGTCATGTGAGAAGTAAGGGAAAGTGAGGGCTTGCAGCACGCTACAGATTAAAGTTTCGTGCACACTTTGAGCACTTACTCCCCAAAATTTGACTTCCCTGCTCATTCGGTGGGGAGGCTGCCCCCTGAGTGGTCCCTATCTCTAAAGCCCACCGCCCATACCTAATCCTAATCCTACTCTCGTAGGAAAATACAGGGGAGTCGGAATCTCACACAGAGTCGGAATTTGATACCACACCAGAACTTTCTTTTAAGCTGTGGGAGCACAAGACGGCTAACATTCACAGCACTTCCTAATGATCAGACTATAGGAGAGCAGGCCGTAATACACTTTCAATCTGAGAGTCTCGGACACAGGTAAGTGGTTTTATTCTGAGCTGTGGCATTGCACCTTTCTCCAATGTTCCTCAGTTTCATGGAATCCCGGTTTTAAAAATATGTAATGGCAAGAGCGTGCGGGTGATTTCAGGCTTCGCTGTTTTACAACTAGCCAATGAATGTACTTTGACATCCCCTGGGAAAATTCTTGCTGGTTGCCTTGACAAAGCGCACAGGAAAATGGCTCCATTTTTCCCTTTTCTCCACGAGCGGCGTTTCTCTCGCTCTTTGGGTTTTATGAGGTGGGGTTGAGAGAGTAACGGAACTGCAGGCATTTAAGGAGTGAGGCGGAATGCCATGCAAACATGTCAGCAGTGAAAAGATGGGGGTGAAAAGTACCACTGCACAAAGAAGATGGAGATGATACACAGAGAGATGGAAGACTGCACTCTCAGTCAAGTGCTCAGTTAGTAAATATTTCAAAACTGCAGTCAAAAGAATGATGTTTTTTTTTTTTAGTGGGGTCTGCATGGCGTCTTAGAGATATTTTAAGACAGCAGAGAAGATGGATGACAAACAATGGAAATGTCAGAAGATACCGTGTAAAGGGACAGTTTAAGGGACAGAAATATGTACGATAGCAGAACAAAATTGAAGTCATAATGAATTGAGGTAAATAGACCATTTTTTTGTGAACTGAATAAACTGATTCCCTTATGAATCAGAGATTCCGTTTCCCTCAAGAACTGTGTGTTTAGGAGAACTAAAGAGGACGTCAAATTGTTTTGTATTGTGTTTGGATCTTCTTGGTATTATTGTGCATGATTCATTGGTCCAAATACTTTTTTGACTTCAATTTCACACCTTGTGTGTTCTGCCGATAACCATGCTTCTGTATTTTTCATGAAACTGAAGAAATATTGACATGCACTGCAACAGCAGCCAATTTAGAGTGTCATGGTGCAAATGTTTGTCTCTGAACATCTTAGCTATCAATGTCCAGTGGCTGAAATAAATTCAATCTGCTATAGAACCAACCCGGTCTCATCCCAAGACGTCATATAACTGACGTTTTGGGACGTCTTTTGACCATACGTCAATATTCGCCTTTTTAGGGCCCCCTTAAACGTCGGTAGATGAGGTTATGGGATCCTAACTCTACCCCATACCTAAACCTAACCCTAAACCTAACCCGTCACCTAACTGACGTTAAAGGAAAAGCGTCAGTTGTATGACGGCCCGGGATCGTCATCTACCGACGTTTAAGGGGGCCCTAAAAAGGCGGATATTGACGTATGGTCAAAATACGTCCCAAAACGTCAGTTATATGACTTTTTGGGATGAGACTGTGTTAATAGAACATATATTTTAAAATACTCTATTATTACATTTAAGTTGTTATGCTTTTCCATATTTACTTGCAAATGTTTAAACATTAACATTTTGAGTTGATTCATTAAAAGAAAAGTATTATTATGCATGCTTGAGTCTGCATTAAGATATTATATCGTAAAAGTGATTTAATAGTTTTTTTAATGATTTTATGGTTTCTATCTGCTTTTAGCTTATTTTTCTCCTTCAGTTTTAGTACCTGACAAATGTTTTTGTTGACTAGAAATGAAACCTAAAGTTCATTTGAATATTAATTTTGCACTGATTGTCAGTTATTTCCAAATGATCTGACTAACTCCTCACCATCAAGGCAAATGTCATACTTGGTAAATTAGTCAGCAAGTACTTGTACTTCTAGTAGACGTTTAAAATGTAAAACCTCAAAATACTGAGCATAATTAATAATAAACAATTCACAATGTATACATGAACTTATTAAAGGAATACATTTACAGTATTTTATTTGGAGGGAAATGCTTTGGCTAGATAATGAATTTCATGAGCTATTTTCATTTTCTTTCATGTATTTCCTCTTTGTTGCTATTTGGAATAGGCGTTATCCAATTTTTGAAGCTTATGGAACACAAGCCATTCTTACTTGCAAAATCGCCAATGTTTACAAGGTTGTTTTTCTCATAAATGTCTCAGCACAACCAAAGTCTGTTCACTGACCATCTGATGCATATTGCAAAGTTTTTTTTGGGGGGGGGGTGCTCATGATTAGGCTATCTGGAAACAAAGATTATTTGTGTTTAAGTGTTCGGTTTTATACAATGAATAGATGATTAAATAATCAGTGGATTTGATAAGGTTCGCCAGGTTCAAATGTTCCCTGAAATTTGTTTGAAACTTTGTTAGATATAGAAGTGTATGTCTGCGAAAAGTACATTTTTACATATCGATTTTTAATTGTGTTTCTCAAATAGGCGTCATAAACCCTATGATGATGTTGTGGTACAATGATGTTGTAATTAACTGAACTTTTTTTCTCTCTTTGTCTTTTTTGTAGGTCCTCCGGTCATCGTGGGAATGAGTATAAATATTGCCAGTATTGACTCCATTTCAGAAGTCAACATGGTCAGTAACACTAATTTTGCATTACTTTTATTATTAATGTTAATGTTGCTGATTGTTGTTAGACTCTCAAAAAGCTGAACATCATAAATTGATCAGAAATATTTTAATTAGTATGGCTAATCAATCAATGATTTTAAATTCTTAGGAAATGTATATTAGGAAAAACATCCAAATTAAGATAATTTAAAGAATTATTGGGGCTGACAAGTAAAGCAATAGGACTCTAATATTTTTTGGAAAAACCAAAAACATGTTGCCCTATTTCTTGCATTTTCATGTTTTTATAAAGTACGTATATCTCTAGTAAATATTAGGGGTGTAACGGTACATGTATTCGTATTGAACCGTTTCGGTTCGAGGCTTCCGGTTCGGTACGCATACAAACCGAACGATTGCTTGGACCATTTTTCCTGCCGGCAAAATTCGTGCTGACGCGGCCAACACAACGTTGCGCAACATCAAATGGCAAGCGTAATGAAAGCAGAACGAAACTGCGCTACTCGTTATGTGCTTCACGGATCGTTTATCAGTTCAGACCAGCAACATCTGTGCAACGAGAGCCGATCTCGATCAAGCAACACTGTTACTACAGCGCTAAGAGATCCAGTAAAGAAAACATTTGAATTCGCCACTGAGGTAATAACATCGCTGCGAGATCTAGTGAGAAGCATACACATTTCTCCGTTATTAACCGTAGATCTCTATTAGATCAAACAGCGCTGTCATGGAAACCAGGAGAAACATTGTGCCGTGAATGAACTAGTAATACTTTCGTCCACAGACCTGCAACATTCACCATGGATTTAATATAGTAACACTAACTGGAACCAGTTTGGCTGGAATGGTGAAATGCTTTCAAGTACTTCACACATCTTTTTCCAGCACTTCAAAATTCAAATATTATATAAATAAATATATATTTAATTGTTATTTTTAATGTGATGACCAAAACATTATTTGTTCATCCTTCAAAGATGACCCCCATTTATAAACCTGAAAGTTTCAAGATCTAGGAAAACTCACACTTATTTAAAAATATTTTTTCTTTAAACAAATAGGAAATTTCTCTGGCATTTCTTTCTTTTTGCTGTATCGAAAACGTACCGAACCGTGACTTTAAAACCGAGGTACGTACCGAACCGTGATTTTTGTGTACCGTTACACCCCTAGTAAATATAGTATTTTTTGAGTAATGAATTAACACGTTGAACATCCAAAGTTTGCCTATTATGAATAGTTAAGGTTTGGTTCTTGAGAAACATACTGCTTTTAAAAGCCGTTCTATTGAGTCTTCATGGTGTTCAGTAATGAAATGATCAGTATGCATGATTATGTATAACTGCGGTCATGACCAATTATGTAGCACCAGTAGACCTTTTGGCTTTGGACCATCACCTCAAGTTAAACACCACTCTGGAGCCCTTAAAAAGCAGTTTACTTAAAGAGCAGTCATCTAAATTTCTGCTGACAACTCCCTATACATACTTACTGTGGAGTCCCCATGCAGACTTACTGCATTCATCATTTCTTCATGCAGAGTCAGGGACTTTGGTTTTATTAGTGCTTCGGCTTCAATGGCTGCGGCCTGAATCCATAAAGTACCCCAGAGAAGAAGTGCTGGACTTGGAACCGTTTTCCTCGGGTCACTGTCAGATAATAATGGTTTGACAGCAGGAAATATGGCCCTAGATTAAATTTTCTATTGAGAAACTTGAGAATACACCAAGACAAAATACTGCTTGCTTGGTCTTACCAAGTGCTTTTTGGTCCGAACCGAACCGAACCGTGGTGCGATTTCACTTTGGTAACCATATTACACTGAAAAACGACTATGCCATTTATAAAGCATTTTTATCATCGAACAAATGATCGTTTCCAGTTTAAACCTTGTTCAGGTTGGGTAGAAGCAAACTCCCCATAGAAAAAATATCTAATAAACAATATTATTTGAGTAGTATTTTTCCTCGACACCACAGTGTTGATGTGTAGAACACATAATGGTTACTGGCTACAGAAATTATTGTGTTTTATTTATGTACCTTTTGTTTTTTAGTACGTAACAGAAAAGATGAAAAGATGATGCATATTTTAAAAAAGACATCACAATAAACATCAGGTTGTAAAAATCCTGTATATACATATAAATATTGATCTACATTAACCTTAAAAAAAGCAAGAGTGGAAAATTATCAGCAAAAAATCTCTTTTTATATTATCTAGACCAGTGGTTCTCAACCTTTTTTTACTCCAATGTCCCCCTCCTTTCCGAATCAATACTGCCACTTTTTTTTTTTTTACAAGTACATTTGTAGTCTAGTGTTATTACTTTTCAAATCCATGTTATTTAAAAAAAAAATGAAGTTAAGACAGAACCTTCGGTAACACTATTTTATTTTACTCAATTAATTACTTTGTAGTAGACATTGTAATAACATGTAACAGAATGTAATTAATATGTAACTAACCGCCTGTACTTACAGATTTTAATTACACTCATGTAATTGTTATTACTTTTCAAATCCATGTTATTTTTCAAACAAAATGAATTTAAGACAGAACCTTCGGTAACACTATTTTATTTTAGTCAATTAACTACTTAGTAGTAGACATTGTAATAACATGTAACAAAATGTAATTAATATGTAACTAACAGCCTGTACTTACAGATTTTAATTACACTCATGTAATAGGCACCTACTGTTACACATGTAACAGGCCGAGCCGTTTACATATATGTTATCGACTTGGTACAATGTAACAAGTACTTGAATGTGTTACTACGGTAAAAAGCCTGCAGTTGCACATAGTATTTTTTTGTACCTTCTAAAATAAAGTGAGTCAAGGTTGTACTTAAGAACACATAATCTACATACCTTATCCATCTGAATTAACCCTCTAGTTTGCAGCTTTAATACATCCAGTAGCTTCTTAATTACATTCAATGTACAAAATATTACAATTGGACAAGTTACGTAAAATAAAGTGTATCAAGATTGTACTTGAGTGTACTACATGTAACCTTATCCATATGTACTTGAGTTTGAATTAGGCCTAACTCTCTCGTTCACAGCATAAATGCATTCGGTAGCTTCCTAATAGGGATGTCCCGATCCGATACTCAGGATCGGTATCGGCTCCGATCCAGCCATTTTTGCGGGATCGGGTATCGATCAGACGAGGCCGATCCAAATCCGATATTGTGCGTATACTATATTATGTTATAGTTAAGCTCCACAGAAGGCACAAAAACATTCTTAAGTACCATGACGTTTTCGTGCACTCTATTATAAGTGTTCTGAAGCCATTATGTCAGAGAGAAATTAATATATAAGTCATTAAATTCAGGATCACGTAAACGTTTTCCTCTCGCGGCTGTCAGTCATTCTCCATTCAGCACTCAAACAGCGCGTTGCGTTCGGTTACAGTAAATGATGAAACTATCTTCAAGATGATTCAATGTTTATACTATTATAATTTATCTGTAGATTAGGGTCTATATTTTCGCATAAAACAACATTATCTTGCTGGACTTTATTGCTGTAACTTAATCGTGTTACTTTCTACCAGGTGTCGGACGCTGTCGGTTAGATCACAACACTAGAGTCAGAGCACTATTGTTCTTCACACGCACAGTAACTGAAATTTAAAACTGTTTAAAGAAAAGGCTCAATAAACTATTGCATAGATAGATACTGTTTAATACACTGTCCATCAATATGTATTTCCTTTATGCTTTGAACTTTTCAAAGCGGACTCGACGTGCAGCGTGCATACCATAGGGTGCATACTCGGCTGCGTGCTGTTACTCCACGTGGTTTCAAGCGCATCATTCTGCGCTCGGAATGCGCATAAGCGCTTTGTGCCGCACTGTGTTGGAGTCATATCATAATGCAGTGACGCAATTAAAGCTTATTAACATTAATAATTATTAGTGTTGCTGCCTCATTAAATAGCTGTGCTATACACTTAAAACATGTCTCAATTTTTTAGTAGTCTTTGGCTATATCTAAAATAATTATCTTTTTAATTTTTGTTATTGTTTTTCATGAATGTATTTTACAACAATACAAAGAGCAATATTTATTATTCACTTATCTGTCACGGGATGTGGTGCAGGGGTGCAGGAGTGCAGGTAGAAGGAGCGGGAGGAATCCAGATACAACAATAAGCGGGTTTATTTTAAACATACAGGCAGGAAGGCAGGGAAACAGGAGCAAACATCGGGTAACATCAAACATCGACTGACAAAGACAGACTGAAAATGATGGAACTAAATAGACAGAGGAATCAAACTAAATGGAGTGCAAACAGGTGAAAATGATGACGAACAGACGTGGAACAGGTGGCTGATGAGGGAGTGAGATCAGGAGAGGAAACAAAAGGATCCGGGGAAGCGTGGTGCAGATGACGAGACAAACAGGTGAAGACGAAGACTGTGACATCACTCCCCCCTCCCGGTAGGCGTGACCTCACGCCGTAACATCAGCGGGGAGGGGGGGTGGGCGCCCTGGAGGCCGTGGAGGACGTGGTCAGGCGCAGGAAGCCCCCCAGGGCGGAGCAGGATGAGGGTGTGGCCAGGGCGGAGCAGGATGAGGGCGTGGCCAGGATGGAGCAGGATGAGGGTGTGGCCAGGGCGGAGCAGGATGAGGGCATGGCCAGGGCGGAGCAGGATGAGGGCGTGGCCAGGGCGGAGCAGGATGCGAGGACCCTTCGGGTGGCCACGGCGGAGAGAGCCCTTCAGGAGGCCGTGGCGGTGAGAGCCCTTCGGGAGGCCACGGCGGTGAGAGCCCTTCGGGCGGCCACGGCGGTGAGAGCCTTTCGGGCGGCCACGGCGGTGAGAGCCCTTCAGGCAGCCGTGGCGGTGAGAGCCCTTCGGGAGGCCACGGCGGTGAGAGCCCTTCGGGCAGCCACGGCGGTGAGAGCCCTTCAGGCGGCCGTGGCGGTGAGAGCCCTTCGGGAGGCCACGGCGGTGAGAGCCCTTCGGGCAGCCACGGCGGTGA